CTGAAGATATATATATATATATATGTAATTGTTATCATACTCGGCAGGGAGATTAGCAACCAGGTTGGGATTGCCTTATTAAAAGAGCCGAGTGTAATTTTTTTGAAAAATTTTGTTGTCAACGGGCAGGTAACTGGCACTGTGAATGCAAATCGTGTAAAACTTCTTTGTATAGCCATTGTAATAAGTTGTGTCATATGCATCCCGAGATTGAGGGAACATTTAGCGCCTAGCGATTTTGATTGATATTTTATTCATAATCGTGCATAGTATGTGTGTTTGTCCCTGAACTCATAAACAGCTGGACAGATTTTGATGATTGTGTGTGTTTGAGTTAAGATTCACGATTGTACATTATTAAAATGATAATTCATGTCTTAGTAGCATGCAATCAACCTCATTGTCTTCAATTTTATTCATATGTGTAGATAACACAAAATAAAGTTAATTTTAATCTATAATGTAATGTGCTTTTGCAGTTTGAGGCTGATCGCCGTGCTATCATCATAACCATAAATTCATTTGGAACAGAACTATCTAAAGATGACCGTGCTAAATTGTATCCCCGATGTGGAAAGTTGAACCCAGATGGGCTAGCTGCACTTGCTCGAGCTGATGACTATGAGCAGGTTAAAGCCGTTGCGGAGTACTATGCTGAATATTCTGCTCTCTTTGAAGGCGCTGGAAACAATGTTGGAGACAAAACTTTGGAAGACAAATTCTTTGAGCATGAGGTAAGATAACACTTATTTTGAAATGACAACTTCTTTAGCATTGTTGTGATTTGAAACTTAATGAAAATGAGATAGAATATATATACTAATATAATAAAGCAAAAGAGGTTATTTCTTTGTTTAAAGACAGTAATCTCTGGAACTACCACACCAATTTCATAAATTCTTTTTGTATATGAGCCACATTCACAAAGAATAGTATAGGCTATCTATCATTATTCTATAACTCTCAGCTAGCCTTAAATATTGATTTTTGCTAACCAAGTCTGAAGAAAAAGCGCTCTCGAACTGCTTTATCTGCATATGCTAACGTAATGATCAGTGATATGTAAATACTATGTTCTAGAAAAATATAGATCTTTCCTGCGTCTAAAAAAATACCGCGATACCATAGGCAATAGCTATATACAACAATAGCAAATAGCATAGTTGTGACAAAAAAATATTGAAAATTAAAAATTTATTTATGAGCATTATTATTAGGCATGTCATAATGATCCTTACGAACGAAAGTTACTTCATCATCAAGACAATTTTATGAAGATAAACTTTGCCTTTTATAGCATGTTATTTTGACGCATACCTTAAGAGATAATGAAAAATTAAAATAATTCAACACTCGGATTGGCGTGCAAACGACTCCTAGCCACCCGATGAGAACCGAGAGAAACCAAGAGAGAACACCTCTATAAGCGAGGTGTATATACACGGGTGATACTGCGGGGAACAGCTATTTCACTATAAAGTGTTTCCTATTATCTGTCTCCTCTGTGTGCGGTGCTTTAAAAATGGTTAATATACCTTTTAACCTTTAAAAAAAATAATTAAAAAATTACAAATTTATTATCAAATAAATAAAATTAATTATATTGAATAAAATTATTATATCCAAACCATTCTTAAGAATCCAAGATTTTATATCTTGCCAATTTATATTAAATAGTTGGGTTTAGGTCATCTAGTGTCTATTTTCCGGACCACCTTGAGAGTCAATCAAGTGTTGTTCAATAAAATGATTTTACCTATAGAATGAAGTTGACGTTGCTATTACAAAGCAATTTTAGACGAAAGAAAATATTATTTTGATTTAATACACTAATATGTTTTTTACTAAATGCATATAAAAGTAAATACTTATAACTAAAATACTTTTTTTTAATTTTTGTCTGTCTGTTTTTTCCGGCTAATCTCCGAAACGGCTGGACCGATTTTGGCGGGACTTTCACTGGCAGATAGCTGATTTTATAAGGAGTAACTTAGGCTACTTTTATTTTAGAAAAAGAATTAGGGTTCCACGCAAAAACATAAAAACCCTAATACGCGAGCGAAGTCGCGGGGAACAGCTAGTTTACTATAAATTAAACTTTTATCTTATAATTTATGCCACACTCGTGGTTCAATTTATCAAATTAAATAAATCATTTGCTGTGAAATGTTTTTGTTTTACTTTTTATTTCATTTGTAGGATTCACTTCTACCACATGCATGTGAACTGCACACATTTTTTTTTATAACTGTCTTATTTCAATTTTAATGTTTGAGTTATTACTGTTACAGGTAAGCCTGAATGTTCATGCTTTTTTGCAACAATTCCATTTTGGGGTTTTCTATTCTTACCTCAAGTTGAAGGAGCAGGAATGCAGGAATATTGTATGGATAAGTGAATGTGTGGCCCAGAAACACCGTACCAAGATTGACAACTACATTCCCATTTTCTAAACATTAAAATCAAAGCATGAAGCTATTTATTGTCACTTGAAATGTAAATATGTTGTATATGGTTAATGATTTAAAAATATTGTATTGAAAAAAATATATATCACAAGTTAAAATCATCATGTTCTGAAAAAGTGAAAAATTATATCTTGGGTAGTATAATTATCAAGTATTCTATTAACGCTTTAATTACTATATTAAATGGAAAATAAAAACTTAAAGATGTAATCTACCTATGTGCATTTTTTGTGTATTATAATTTTAAAATAATCGACATACACGTGAATTATGATTGCTGTTTGTTGAGTACAGTACAATGCCAATAATATAAATGATGATCATCTGTAATATAAAATAAATAATATAATATGCTTTTAAAAATGTTTGAACTTCACATTTATTGCAATTTTAAAGGATTGAAAGTAATAAAGTAATAATATTACTTAAATGTTATAACACTTTATTTACTTAATGACAAATGTATAATTGCAGTAACTTTGAAAGTGAGAGGAATTTTATTGATGTTAGCATGTATAGAATGAATAAAATATGTGTAAAAAATCTTTTTTAATGTATCACTTTTATAGTCTACGTGGTAGAGCCATGCTGCAGCTATATTATGGTTGTAGCACGAATGGGTCGGCTCGAACGGGGAAGGACCACGCTCTCACAGAAAACCAGCGTAAAATAGCAGCTTAATGCTGCTGTGTTTCGTATGGTGAGTGTAGAGAACCAGAGACCCTTTTTACTGGCAAAGAGGCATTCCATCTTAGTCCTCACGGGTGACAACGCATCTGCATCTTGAGTCTTTATTAAGGATAGATGTAGATTTCTATGGGTCACAGTAACCACTTACCATCAGGTGGACTGTGTGCTCGTTTGTCACCCGATCCTATAAAAAAAAAGAAGTCTAAAAAGGTTTGTCAGTTGTATTGAATTAATAAATTGTTGCAGGCCGTAAGGATAAAGAATGGGATTAAAAATGGCGCCTCATTGAGCCCGTACCGTCAACATGCATAGTACCAATAGCGAAATGCATATTACCAATACCAAATACCCGCTAGTAACAGTATATCGTTATAACGTTATATTGTTCGGTTCATTTGAAATTTTCTATTAATGGGAAAATATTTGAAAAGAAACTTATACCCAAGTAGGTACATTCATTTTAAAATAACATTTATGGCTAACAACGCGCTCTGGCTCCGCCGGGGTGGGATCTATTGTGGCGTTATTTATACTTTATACATGGTAGAGCCACGCTGCAGCTATATTACGGTGTTAGCACGAATGGGTTTGCTCGACCGGGGTAGGACCACGCTCTCACAGAACACCAGCATAAAATAGTAGCAATACTGTTATGTTTCGTATGGTGAGTGTAGAGAACTGGAGACTTATTGGCAACGAGGCATTTCATCTTAGTCCTCAGGGGCGACAACGCATCTGCATTTTGATTCTTAATCAAGGATAAATGTAGCATGTTTATAGGCCACAGCATCCGCTTATCATCGGGTGGACTTTGTTCTCGTTTGTCACCTTTAAACTATAAACAAAAACGAACGCGCTTTACAGTAGACACATAAGATGTGTAACATTAAACTTGGTAATAAGCAATATTATTAACATTATATACTGAAAAAAAAAGATTAATAATAAAAAATTTATTATTTGAAATTATTTTTCCTATCGAAGAATAATTATTTTTAATGAAAATTATATTTTCTTAAATTAACACTAGGAGTAATGCAATTTTTTATTGAAGACAATTATTTTTATTCCATTCGTGGGAGAGGGGAGGCAATTATCAATAGTAAATACATTTAATAATATAGTTTACACATACAAAATTAGTTTATTCAGCAATCGGCACACTTTATGCACAACATTAAGTATATCTACTTCCCTTTTTCTTTCTCGGCACACACACACACACTGCTGGCTGACAGTACCAACCTCTCGGAAAATGGGTTGGTACTTGGTACCTATCTGGTGGCCAGTTATACCACCGCGCGCGCTCATTGGCCAAATCAAATAGCGCGCGCTTCCCCAGCTTCCTGTTACACACTTCTATCCCCAAACTAGTAAGAAGTGCTAGCGCATTGTTACGAAATCACTCCTACAGAGATTGCAGGAAAGCAAAGACATTTAAGTAGTAGTTATAGACCGGACATTAGCAACAAAATTGTCACCTCTTACTTATCCTATAGCAGGTATGGGCAACCTTTGACATGTTGAGGGCCAAACTTAAGCGTGCAAATACGTTCGCGGGTCGCGTTTAAAAGTACTTTTTGCATACAGTGCATTTTAAAGTAGTGATAATATTTTTTGCGATACATATTAGACATGAAATAATACGACAATGTTATTATAGTACAATTTATTAAAATAACAAAATGAAATTTAATAAAATGGTACATTATAATTAAATCGTTAAATTTGCAATTGTTACAAATTACGAAAGTTAAATACACCGAAATCAATGAGACACATGAACTTGAATTTGGAAAAGTAATCCATCGATATTTGGATTCATTCCACTGATACAAAGACTCAAGAATTTTCCAAATTATCGTCAGTCAGTCTTGTACGATGTGTTGATTTATTAACTTTCATCAATGAAAAGAACTTTTCGCATTTATAAGTACTGCCAAACGCACAAATCAATGTTCTTGCGAATTTTCTAAGCTGCGGAAAATTGTCATCTTCTAGGTATTTCTTGTAGAAATCGCACAACTCTACGTCTTCAAATTTGGATTTTAGGGGTGAGTTTTCTTGAATCTCGATCAACTCCATTTGTTCCAACTCCAGTTGTATTGGAGCATTTTGTACATTATATTTTGTAGGAGAAGCACTTAAACTGAAACAGTCTTCCATGTTTTTCAAGTCGCTAAATCTGTTCAAAAATTGTTCCGACAGTAACTTGAGTTCTTCAGCATATTGAGCATAAGCAATATTTTCATACGCAGAGAGCGTGTTGAAATGGTAACTGTTACCAGACAGCATCTGTGACTCCCACAAGCGTAGTTTGATCTGAAACGCTTTCAAATGGCTGTCCAGCTGTACAAATCATTTACTAACTGTCCTTGTTTTTGAAGTTTCAAATTTAAATCATTCAGATCAGTATATAGTAACAGTAAGATCGACTAGAAAAGCCAAGTAACATATCCATTTTGGGTCACTTAATTCAGATAGTGGTTTATCTTTTATTTTCATAACGTCTACTATCTCATTTCTAAGCTCGTAAAACCGTTCCAACATTTTCCTTTTGCTCAGCCATCTGACTTCACAATAATATGTTACGTGGTTATATTTAGCTGATATTTCATCCAAAAACGCCTTGAACTGACGATGGTTAAGCCCTCGGGATCGAATAAAGTTCATGGTTTTTACTACCACATTCTTAACATTCTAAAGTCGGATGGACAAGTTCTGTTGGTGGATAATGCAATGAAGGACTCTCAAATCATCTTTTTGTACATTTAATTCTGTTGCTTTTTCATTCAAAATTCCGATGAAACCTTTACGTAAGCCGACCATAGAAGGTGCACCATCAATGCATATTAATTAATTGTTAATTTTGACCATGGCAAGCCAAAACTTGTGAATACCTTTTGAACTTCAATAAAAATATCCTCTCCTGTAGTGGTTCCTTTTAGCAGCTGTAAAGCAAGCAAATTCCTCAGTAACAGCGGACTCCTTATCAACACCTCGAATAAATATAGTCAGTTGAGCTGTGTCAGACAAATCGGTGATCTCGGCTAATGCTATGAAAAATGATTCAAAACCAGCCATACGGTCAATCAATGTTGTTTTTATATCATTAGCCATCATTTTTATACGTCGAACAACAGTTCGTCTTGACAAACTAATTTTTTCAAATTCATTTTTCTTTTCAGGACACAAAATACAGCAAACTTCTAACATACATTCCTTGATAAATTCTCCTTCGGCATATGGTTTTAATGCCTTTGCCAATATTGAGTTAAGTATAAAACTAGCTTTCACAACATTATCAAGTTGTGTTCTTTGTTTATGAAACATTTGTTGATGTTTTTCCAAATTTGCGGTAAGCTTCTGGATTTTTTCTGTTCTTAATTGTCCTGACAGTGAATGCAGCGTAGCATGCTTAGTTGAGTAATGCCTCTTTATATTGAATTCTTTCATTACTGAAATGAAATTACACAGCAAACAAGTAGGCTTACCATTGTGCAAGTAAAAAAGAATTCTTCAGTCCATTTTTCTTGAAACTGGCGACCCTCTGTATCTACTTTTCGTTTCTTTCCACCAGACATCAATTTTGTTTACTTTTCGTTCAATAAACTTAATAACAAACTATAGTTAGTAACCACTCAAGATGCACACAAAATCACAAAGCAAGTTGATGGCTCGAGCAGTTCGCTAGGATATCACTTGTCCAAGTTATCACCTCGGTAGCTCAAATAGAACTGAACTAACGTTCGGGCCATCCACCCGCTTATATAGGCTAAATGAAGGAATAATCTGGAATAAATTAAATTAGAATAATTGAGAAGCAATAAATCTTTTGACGTGTCACTCGTCAGGCGGCAAACCTTTTGAGGGTTTCTTTGGAATTTCTTTGGAAGGAGGAATTCTTTGGAATTTGATCGAGCAAGCTGAGTGGCGGCGATTATCAAAGTGTGAGGCGGCAAACATCAACGGATTTGATGTTTGCCGCCTCACTGTCACTCCCGTGAGTATAAGTACCTAATGTAATATTTTTTAATTGGGTTTTTTCAAAATGTCTCGCGGGTCGGATCATATCTTACAGCGGGCCGGATCTGGCTCGCGGGCCGGTTGTTGCCCATATATGTCCTATAGGATATAATTCGGATTTGTGTCATTTAGTCTTAGTGACATCGTCAAAAGCTCAAGACGCATTCGTTTCCTAAGTTTAAAAATTATTTTTATAGAAAATATGCCCGATTGTGCATTGTATTATTGTAATTCCCGATATGGAGCAAAAACTGAATGTGATTTCGGTTTATTATAGCTAGAATAATCCATCCCAATAATTTTTAAATTTTATTATTTCTGGTAGATTGTTCTAGAACATTTATCATTATTGTAATAAGCGCCCCCTGTTATCCAGTAACGTCTGATTTATTTACCAAGAGTTAGTGATTGACAACGTTTATCGATTATTGTTATCGATAAAATATATTATACCGGATGCTGATTTAATCATTTACAATATTTAAGGAGGTGATATCAGTCCATAAAAATTACTGTTGGTAAACGATTCCTAAGAAAACTCCTGATAAATCGCGCGGTAGTGGACCGCCAAGCATCCAAATGACGTGGATGGTAACGTAAGTTTTGTAGCGATGTGTGTTGATGAAATTTGGTGGCTGGAATTAATCCGAACAATTCCTCACAGCACTCCCCGTGTTAAATACGATAGAAAATCGAGTCAATCAAAGAGAACTCGGTCGTCGACTATTCGAGCCGTTCTGCGCTGCAGTCAAGTCGAAGGTGTTCGCACTGGGGAGCCCCGGCCCAGAGATGAGAAAAGTATTCCATGTGAGGCTGAACCTGCGCTTGTAAAGTTGCAAACGGTCACTTTTTGTGTTGTCCCGCCCTACTGAGTACGCCAAGCTTTTTACCATGCTACTGCAGGTCATTCGATATGTCGAAGTCGAAGATTCTGCTATTGGCTACGCCAACAAGGGAAGTGCACAAAGGTGTTCTTTTTAACGGTAAACGCGCAATCTTGTGAATTTGTATAATAATTTATTTTGTAACGACCTTTAAGTTAATGTTTTCCTAAAACAAGTTCGATTCAAAGTGTATTTTTGTAAAAGAAACGAATTTGAAAAACATGGAGGCGCTCTCTTATTGGATTTGACGTTTCGCGATGTGCCTTTGACGCCGACCGACCAATCATATGCTATTATTATAGCGTCTAATAGACCTAGTGACGTCATCCAAGAAGCCACCAATGGGACTGCTGTTTGAATTGATACTTAGTTATTGGAAATTAAATATTATAATATTTCATTTCATTCATGACGTTATTCATAACTTAAAACGTTTAAATGATTTTTTTGGTGTGATGGGAGTCATAGTAAATAGATTTATACAATAAAAAACCATGCATAATCTCTATTATTATATCGTAAAGCATTACAAACTTAGTAACCTTCAACAACATTATCGATATTTTGATGTCGTAACGGTACATTCCTAAAACGGGTTTTTTACCCTACATTTAGTAGCGTCACCTACTGGGGAATAGCTGAAATGTTTTCCTAATAAATATTCTGCGTAGTTTTGCTATGTTTAGCTAGAGGGCGTCACACACGCGCAAGCTCAAGGTTTTTGTATGAAAACGTTCTCTATAGTATACCTATATATTTAAATATCTTTGCAGGAAAGTGAGAGGAAAGACTTTACACATCAAAAAATACTTTATTTTATCAATATCAATATTTCTATTTCAATAAAATCTCAAAATTTTTCGGATAAAACTTAGTCTAGATCGCTTTTGATATTACACTGGTTGAAAACTAGTTCGCTAACAAAGACTACTAGACATTGCGAACTAAGTTACTGTCAAATCTAAGTAACTTCTTTGTCCGACGGGCAAGCCTATCTAAAATTAGTTCTTTTTTTGTAAACTGTGAACGTTGTTTTCGATAATTAAACACTTATTTTCTCTAATGTGACAAAAAGGCTATCATCGTTTATGTGCGCACTTCGTCGACGCGATTTGAAGTTTATTTCAGATAAGTATGTAACTTTATTTCGTGTTTGCCTAAAACAGTAACTTTTTAAATGAAAATACAAATGCGTGTGTAATGTCTGCTATCTTCTCTAACCACTGTAGTGTAACACAGGCTCGGCACGCACTTTAACTAAACAACACGTCTACTCTCGCCCGAGGCTCTCATGTAACTGACGCGGTGCGCTCGAGACAGTGACTTATATATAAATGTATGTTTGTGTATTTGTGCATGGTAAATTATTAGTAAATAAAACAAATAACACTATTTAGTGTATACTACATATAAGCAAACACTACATCTCTTTCTTATCAAGATTTTTTTCTTTTTTTCATTACAACTCATAACAATCACAAAGCAGCTTGTATTGTCTGTATTAATTATTTTCCACTGCTTTTACGTAAACCTTATCTCCCTGTATTATATCTGAGGGAGTTGCTTTGCGTTTCCTATATATATATACTCTTTTCCTTTTCCTTTTTTGTATTTTGTCTCTATCCCTGATATCTGAATCTAAATGATTGTCTGTAATTTATTTCACCTATTGATGGAATTTTATCCCTACTTTTTCGGTGAAAAAACAGTTCAGACGCTAACTTCCCGGTAACTGTAAGGAGGGGTGCTGTTATACATTAGAAGATACTCCCATAAACATTTCTTTTAAATCGTTCCTCTCGATCTGGTTGATACGAAGACGTTTCAAAATATCTCTGTTTTGTCTTTCAACTTCGCCGATCATTTGAGGCCAATATAGTACAGTACTAAATAACTTAATGTTACATTCTTTGCAGAAGGATCGAAACTCTTCACTCACGAACTGCTTGCCATTGTCTGCGGTTATAGAAATAGGATAACCAAGTCTACTGAACATTTTTTTTTACCATTTTAATAATCTGTAAGCTTGTGATGTTTTTGTAATTATTTACTTCTTTGTATCGACTATAGTAGTCGACCACTACTAACAGATACTCGTTACTTGGCAATGGTTCCATTAGATCCATTGTGACATCTATCCATGGAGCTGCAGGCAACTCTCGTTTCTTCATTGGTGCAGTTGGGTTTGGCAAACCCACTAACGTACAACATTTACAAGCCTTTACTAATTGTTCTACGTCTTTATCGATACGGGGCCACCATACCTTTGATCTCCAGCGTCCCTTCATCGCTACGATACCTGGATGACCCTCGTATGCAGCATCTAATACACTCTTGCAGAGTTGCTGTGGTATTACAATTTTATTTCTACGAAGTAGAATGCTA